AGCCCGGTGTTTCTGTAGAGTCCTTCCCAGCTCCAGCACTCAGGTTAAGAATGTCGAACCCGTCAAGGGTGATGGGTTGGCAAGGGTATTCTGCTCAGGGCTGGACAGGAAGAGGAGATGATAATGTTGGCAGAAGAAAGTGGCACAGCAGTGGCCTCTTGCGGCTTGTCAGGTCATCCGTTGTGGGGTATGCAGGGCTGGGTGTGGGTGTCAGGGCAGGGCTGCAGGGCTGCCCCCAGATCGGGGGCACTTTTCACCTTGTCCTTCCCGGGTCTGGTGTGTATGCGACGCCCCGCGGTGCCTCATCCCTTGTGCCTCTCGGTCTCCGTAGCCCTCACAGCAGCCCTTGGATGTACAGGAGCCCCATTTTACAGGTGAGAACGCTGTGTGAAGAGAGGCCTCAGGGTAACCCCTGAGGGGGTGGTGCTGCGCCCTGAGCTTTTCTCTGCACTCGGCCTCAGTCTCCCAGTACGGCACCTGTTCCAGACATAACGTCAGTACTGGCCTGCCCCGAGCCCGGGATCAGGTACTTCTTTTGGTCAGAAGGGCCCATTATGGAACAAGCAGGGACTCTGACATCCAAGACCAAGTTCAAATGTGTCTCCTCCGTTTTATGTTGTTGTCTGTGTGGTTTTGGCCATGTTACTGAGACTCCAGAGCCTAAGCCTCTACAACCCAGCTGTACGGTGGGCGCGGTCCCTGCTGGGTAGTAGGGGGTTAGGGAAACTCAGTAGAGCATGCGGGCAGGGCTGGCTTGGTGTAGATGCCAGTCATTGGTCACTGCTACGATTGTGACCGTGGCAGGGCCTTTGTTGGTCTTGGGGGACCAAGGAAACTGCCCAGAGCAGCCCTCAGGCATACGGATTGTGGAGTAAGTGGCCCGGGCTCAGGTCATCCGTCTCCTACTCACTGGCTCTGTGACTATGGACAGCTTGCCTGCTTTCGGTGCCTCAAGCTTCCTTCTGTAAATGGGGGTAAGAGTAGTTCTACTTCATAGGGGTAAACAAAGAAAACAAATTGGAACTGTCAAGAGATCAAGGTGCAGTGACCTGATTTTAGTCATATGATGCCATTGTTTTCAGACATGATGTGAGCCTCCTTGAGATTTACAGTAACATTTCGCTCTCCTTCCTGACCACATTGAAAGAATGTCTTTCTCTCTCTTTCTTTTTGTATTTAATGCCAGTGGAAAAGTTGAGAGCATGTTTTTACTAGAGATACAAATAATTATCATAAAAATTCCTGTTGCTACCTAAGAAATTGAATTAAAGTAAACTGTTCGTATAAAGAGAACCTAAGTATTTTTTTGTAGAGTCCCCACCCATAGCATTAGTTATGGGAAGTAACAAACTCATCTCCTCTGTGAAAATACTAGCAACATAATCAGCTCTCTGTTAAAAACCCAACACGATGCTACTTCACTGAAATGATCTGCTTCCCCTGCTTTAATCTGGAATTTGGCGGGGTTGCGTGTGAGTTAATTTTCTTCCTCTTTGAGACGATGGCAGGAAGCTGGGACCCTAGATGTGAGTCCACCTGGAGGAAAACCGTCTGTGAACGTCATGTCTAAGAATCCAGTTTGACTTGCGCCCGAGGGCTGTGTGCAGTGCTAGCTGTGTCTGCGTCGTTACCTGCAAGCCCGTGCCGCTGTGCAGTGACTGCTACGTCCAGCCGCCTGGGTCACGGCTTTGGAGTACTGTTTACTCGCCGTAGCAATGCTGCAACCAGGAAAAGCTTTCCCTTTGGTTGGTCAAGAGCTTGGCCCACGATTAGCAAAACAAGCACGCGTGTGATTTGGGAGAGGCTGGAAGGGCCGCTGACGGGTCCATTGTCCCCGGGTGCGGTGGCGGGCAGTGTGGCACGGCTCAGGAGAGCTGACTGCGTGGACATGCTCTTGAGCTGAGGTCCATACCCTGGGGAAATTCAGCGCACCAGGGGACAAGCCCTGGGGTGTAAATGGCGTTATATGAGCAGAAGCTGACAAGTCCCCGGGTGACCCTCTACTGGAACAGAGCGGTAAGTTGCAGGTCTGTTCGCACAGTGGGAACCACCAGCGTCCTGGTGCAAATCAGCTGTGGCCACATGGGTCAGCGGGGACCAGCCCCAGCACTGGAATCTGAAGAGGCAGCTGCTGACCCGTGGCCTCTGGTCTCCCCTGTGTTAGGCTTCAAACCAGGCAAAACGCAGGAACATAGTGAGAACACATATGTGATGAAACCGTAAAGAGGAGCGGGGGAGGGCTTAAATCAGAATTGGGGCTCCTGGGTATCTGTGCGGTGGGGGTGGGAGGGATTCAGGGAGGGGCACATGGGGCTTCCGCAGAACCCCCCAAAACCCGCACCGACGGTGTTAGATACGTGGGGTTTGTCGTGGGGTTTGTTTCCAGTTAGTGTAGTGGTCAGTGCGTAACAAGTGACCCCAGAACCTAGCAGCCTAAGACACTGGTGAGCGTGGGTGACCTCCCAAGGTGTGTGTGTGTGGGGGGCAGGACATCGGGAGCAGCCTGGCCGGGTGGTTCTGACTCGGGGTCTCCGATCCAATTGTGGTCAAGGGACCAGCCGAAGCAGCGGCCCTCAGATGCTGCTGGGCCATTGGGGGAGGTCGGTCCTCTCGGACCGCTGGGGGCCCTTGGGACACGGCAGCGGGCGTCCCTCCTGGGACGGAGTAGGGCGAGCTGGCCTTGAATGGGCCTTTCACCTCAGACCCCATTGCCCCAAACTGGATGGAGGGCCGTGCCAGTTCAGCAGGAAGTAGGAGGAGGACAGGGAACCCCCTCCTTCTCCGCAGGGGGAGGGGAAGGGGGGGCGCGCTTGAGCCCTAGAGGCAGGACCACTGGGGGCTTCTTGGAGCTTGGCCGCTGTGGTTCTGACTTGTTAATATAGTTCACGGTGAAAACCTTTTAGACACAAACCAAACTGGTAAGCTTATTTTTCTTAGTAATGGTGGGGACATCCGTTTAAATGACAGTGACTGTAGGTGCTGAACATGACCTCCATTGGTGTGGGGATGGAGAGGCGTCAGTGCTGCAAAGGGAGTAATGGCAGGGCGGGCCGGGGGGCCTCAGTCCTCTGGACACCCAGATGTGTGGTGTACAGAGGGGACTGCTTATGTCTAGATGTCCGTCTTCCTGTCCCTCGATGGGGTGGAAATCTGAGAGTGCTGATGTTGTGGAGAATTCCCTGGACTCAGGGCCCCCGGCAGTGTCCTGGGTTCGTCGTGATGTTAAAGTTTCTGCCAGCGCCCTGTGTTCTCCTGAGACCCCGTTTAATGGAACGGGAGAGCCCTCCCCTCACTCCCCTCCGCTGCAAGCCAGGGTGTAGCTAGAGATGATCTGGACAAGTAAGGGTCGGAGTTTTGGCTTAGAACTTCTCACAGTGATTACATTCTCACAGTGCGTGTGTGTTTTCATGTAGCACGTTTTAAATTCCTGATTTGTTTGCTTGCTCATCTTTTTTTTTTTTTTTAATGTTTTACTTATTTTTGAGAGAGAGAGACAGCATGAGCAGGGGAGGGTCAGAGAGAGAGAGAGGGAGACACAGAATCCAAAGACAGGCTCCACGCTCTGAGCTAGCTGTCAGCACAGAACCCTATGCGGGGCTCAAACCCACGAACTGTGAGATCATGACCTGAGCTGAATTCGGACGCTTAACCAGCTGAGCCACCCAGGCACCCTTGCTTGCTCATCTTTGAGTGAAACTGGTGTTCCCAAAGGGGCTGAGGTTTCTCCCCTTAGTTTTGGGTAGCTCTTGGCAGAACTTCCTGGGAGTTTTCCGGGGTCCAGGTGCCCACTGCGTGTGGCATTGAGACGCCACCCCATCTCCTTTGGGGGCCGCAGCGTCCCGGTGAGCAGGTGCCCCATGTCCCTGGTGCGGAAGCAGCTCGAGGCAGTTTTCGTGAGAGGAGAAGGGACGGCAAGGCAAGTGAGGGCCCTGACGCACTTCCTAGGCTTCTGTCCAGGGCGCCTTGGACACAGGTGTCTGTCGTTGTGGCCCCACCTCCAGCCCCTGCTCCTTACAGACCTGAGTGCAAAACCCTCCACACCAAGTGATAATTGCCTTTTGTTGTGGCAAAGAGCCACCAGGGGCGCCAGGTGATGCTTGTTTGACTTCCCTTGGCCCACAGTGTGCTCTTCTGAGAAAAAAGGGAGGAAAAGAAGGAATATATATAAAATGTCACAATTACTTTAAGGGTTGTTGTGTGTTAAAGGGACGTGTAATTAGTGGTGATGGCTATAAGAACTGGTGATCATGATTAGAGTGTTCACGGCACTGTTAAGAGTGTTTGTTGATAAATACTCTCTGGGGACAAATCGCAGTGCACGCCCCCTCACCCCTCAGACTGTGGATGAAAGGGTTTGGCCATTTGGCCTTGAGGTTGGTTTTTGGGAGGGCATCGTGTGGGGTGGGGGCACAGCCTGTGTGGTGAGACGCGCCTGGAGCCCAGGGTCAGAAGGTCTGAGGAGGGTTTCATCTCTGTTGTGTTCTGGTCGCACGTCCCCCTCGTCCGACCGCAGGGAACGGAGTGTGACTTACAGACCGTGGCGCTGTGTGTGCTGTCATCTAGGGCGGGCGGGGTGAGTCTGGTCACCTGTGCTGGAAAGGCCCCCGGGAGGCCCAGCCGCGTGGCTATGCGTGGCCGCCTCGAGAGCTCTCCCAAGTCCCAGACTCCGGCCCTGGGGCCTCCCATGTTCTTCTCGTTGGAGGTTCTTCTCCATCACATGTCACGGCCCCCAAGTCCATGTGACTTAAAGAGACTTCATGAGGACTTTCTTGGTCCCAGAAGTTCCCAGAGCGGGTGAGGCGTATGGCTGTCCCCCACGTTCAGTATGAGGCGGGAGCCGTTTTTTCTGTCTCCGCCTTCCTCCTGGCTTAAAAACGAACAGTTACAGCAACATTTGAATCTAGAGGCTTGTCTTCCAGGGAGCACAGTTTCTTGAGAGAAATAGCATTCGTTCTGTAAAACTCCTTGTGGTGACGTCTCGTCTCGCTTGTTCTTGGCAGGCTGAGGGAAGAGCGAACGGTCCCCGCGCGTCTTGGGTGCACCTGGCCCTCCGCTGCCATGAGGAGCGGGGTTGCGGCCACTTGAAAGGTGAGTGAGCATCACTGTGCAGGTGCTTCATCATCACAATTTCAAATCCACGGCAGCATGGGAAGAACGTGCCGGAGTTCCTCGGTGCTGCGTGTGTGTGTTTGTGGCCTGTGCATTCTTCTGCTGGAGCGTCTGCAGTGAACGTAGGCTGCAGGCATGATGACATTCTGTCCCACACTTTTAGGGACGTAGCTCCACAAAATGAGGACCATCTCCCTGAGGGGCATTTAGAACATTGGTAAACTGTGCTGTGTAGAATCATGTAATAAGACACAGCTATAATGTCCTATTAAAAGGTGTGATTTTGAATTTATGATCCCTTTACAGCCAATGTGTGTGGGTGATTTATTTGTTTCTAAAATTTATTTATTTTGAGAGAGAAAGAGTGAGAGTGTGGGAGGGCAGAGAGAGAGAATCCCAAGCAGGCTTCGATCTGTCAGCATGGAGCCTGATGCAGGGCTCTGACCCACAGAGCAGTGAGATCGTGACTTGAGCTGAGATCAAGAGTCAGATGCTCTGCCGACAGAGCCACACAGGCGCCCGAAAAATTACCTTTAGGTTGTCTTTAAGTAGGCTCCACACCCAGCACAGAGCCCAACTCCCGCCCCGAAGTCATGACCATGAGATCAAGACTTGAGCTGAGGTCAAGTCTGATGCTTAACCAACTGAGCTGTGCAGGTGCCCCTGTTGGTTATATTCCTTAATTTTATAAATTTGATAAGCACTTAGTCTCCATAATCTAATGGTTACTTCAGTTGTAAGTAGATGCAGCAGGACATACGTAGAAATGACTATGTGTCTAAAGGTCCTGACTTGTTTACATGTGGTGACCCTGGACTGTTGGAAGGTGGCATATCGGGATAAGTTGTGCTCTTTGGCGTGCTTATAAAAGCAAGCCAAGCTCACCTCTGCTCTTGGGCCACTTGAATAATAAATAACACACCTGGAGAGGAAGAACCGCACACGAGGTAATAAAGTTGGAAATGTAGTGTAATCGCCTCTGTTGGCATGCTTCTGTGTTTGCTTCTGTGAGGTTGGAAACGTTCGTCTTTCTTAACTGGAGGCTGTAAGGGCATTGTGGTGACAGAGACGGGTGAGACTGCTGTCATCATCATCGTAACCCCTTAACATTTTCACATGTGCTCATATATGCTTTATGGGCGGAGCCTTGGGCTGTGAGTCACCGCTCCTTCGTCACCCCACACTGCCCTCTGACACACAGAAGGGAAATGCCCTTGACTCACGACCGTAAACCCTTATAGGCCGTCATGGCCAAGACCTCCTTTAGGAAGTGAGGTTGAACGTTGCTTTGGACGTTGTAGTTATAGGTGTTGAGCTGCATGTAATAATCTATGGATGTAAGAACAGATGACAGCCTCGTAGGGTCTTCTCCTCACCGCAGGAGACATTAGACATCGGGTGGGATGCTACGTGCCCCCGCTGTGGGGGCAGTGACACAGGGCAGCAGGCTTTCCCCTGAGACCGAAGACTTGGGGGGGCCCGTCTGCAGGAACCGCAGAGAGGAACGTGCCCTGGTGTGTGTAGGGGTGCAGTTTAATGAATGGGGGTCAAACTCTGCACTGGTTTTGTTGCCAAAATTAATAAAGTTAATAAATAAAGGTGTAGTTATGAGAAAGAAAAGATATCCATTCACACTTGCTGCTTTTGTGTTTATTTATTTACTTAATATACTTTTTGTCAGGTTGGTTTCCATATAACACCCAGTGCTTATTCCAACAAGTGCCCTCCTCCATGTTCATCACCCCCCCTTCCCTTCCCCCATCAACCCTCAGTTTGTTTTCAGTGTTTAAGAGTCTCTTATGGTTTGTCTCCCTCCATTTCAACTATTTTTTCCCCTTCCCCTCCCCCATGGTCCTCTATTAAGTTTCTCCTGTTCCACATATGAGAGAAAACCTTCGGTTTCTGTCCTTCTCTGCCTGACTTATCTCACTCAGCATAACACCCTCCAGTTCCGTCCATGTTGCTACACATGGCCAGGTTTCATTCTTTCTCATTGCCATGTAGTATTCCATCGTATAGATAAACCATATCTTCTTCATCCATTCATCAGTTGATAGACATTTAGGCTCTTTCCATGATTTGGTTATTGTCAAAAGTACTGCTGTGAACATTGGGGTACATGTGCCCCGATGCATCAGCACTCCTATCTGCTTTTGTGTGTAAAGTGTTTTGACAAATTGAGTCCTGTTCTTCGATGTACAAGTTTTTTATTTTTTTTTTTCAATGTACAAATTTTTTAATAGTGGTTCCAATTTAGGGCTACGTGAAACATGAGACTGGAGAAGATGGAGAGGAAGAGATAATCATGGTCCTTTCCCTCACAAAGCTCAAAACTGTAGTCTCCATTAACTGCTTTGGGCAAAAATACAGTTTTCTAAAACAAATTTGGTGATGGGCCAAATCACCGATCTGTGGCCTTAGAAACACTGGGACTTTTCTGCTCTATAATAGGGAGCTGCTTCTTCAGGGACTCCGGCCTGAGGGACGTTTAATTTGTCAAGGCTAGGTAAGTACGATCGACGTCCTCAGTCTGTCAGGTTGCGCATCCAGAGAGGGACAGGTACCAATGTGCACACTGAACCTCGATTGCTAGAGCGAAATGTGTTTTACAGAGAGTGTCAGCATCACCCTCTTGGTTGCAAGTGACAGAAAACCCAATGCAAAGTGTCTTTAAGGGGACAAATGTACCAACTCAGGCAGCTGACAGTGTGGAGATGGATCTCACTTCAGGAAGGGCCGGTCACGGAGCAGAGGGCATCCTCAGGCACCCTGGCGTCTGCACTTGTGGGACTACAGAGGGGGCTCCGGCCACGTGGGGCCCACCTGTTAACGAGGACACAAGCTGCGTTCTTGACCCTCTGCCTCGTGCAGGGCCAGTCGCTGGGACCAGGGAGTGGGCCTGCCCTGACATGGCTGTCCGGGCGCATACTCGATACTGACAGCCCGATGTCAACTGTCAACCCAAGGAGGCGGCATCCACTGGCGGCAGCCCCACAGGGTTCCCTCCAGAAATCGGGTGCTTTCCTGGAGTGTCACTGGGTGCTGGGGTGGTTCTGATGATGAGGGTGATCGTCATGATGATGAGGATCATTATCATCATAATAAGTGTATCTTCTTATGGTTGGCGTTAGGAGTGTTCTCTTGTTTGACCTGAGAGAGGCGTCAGGGGGGCGGGGTGAAGGAGTGCTTGAGAACGTGGATCTTGGGGCAGGTTGCACGGGTTCAGTTAAGAGCCACTAAGGTTTGACAGATCACTTAACCTCTTTGTGTCCCAGTAGCCTCAGCTGTGCAGTGGAGATACAGGCATCTACCTGCTGGGTTCTGGGAAGGGTTAAATTAATGGCTATTTGCAGGCCAGTTAGAGCAGTGCCTATACATATTGGTCCAGCACTTAAAGCAGGCTCCCAATTCTGAGCTGTCGGCACAGAACCTGACGCGGGGCTCGGACTCACAAACTGTGAAATCATGACTTGAGCCAAAGTCGGACCCTTAATCAGGTGAGCCACCCAGATGGCCTTCCTTCTGTTCTTTATTTCTCAGACAGCCCTGCCAGCACAGTGTCCCCCTCATTTGACGGGCGAGGTGTGGAAGTCCAGAGTCCCGTGGCCTGTAAGGGTGGCACCTGCAGTAGTCAGGTGTCCTGACTTCCTCCTTGTTCCCACCCTTGTCTCTGTCACGATTCTGGGGTGTGTGCAGGGAGCAAAGAGGGAGATCTCCTACAGACCAGCCTGCTGCTTAGAAGGGGCGTCCCCGAGGGCAGTTGGGCCGGCGGGTCTGGCTTGCAGGTCGGTCTTAGCTCCCCTGTACGGAGCGCCCCCAGGTGTGTTTAGGGAGCGTCTCTATGAGATGCGTGGTGGGTACATGCTCAGAAATCAGCCATATCTGGGGTAGCCCTCACCCCGGGAATGTTTGCTGACTGTTCCATCGATCCAGTGCTGGGTGCCTTGGTGGCTCAGTTGCTTGAATGTCTGACTCTTGGTTTCCGCTGAGGTCATCATCTCATGGTTTGTGGGTTCAAGCCACACATCAGGCTCTGTGCTGACCATGCATAGCCTGCCTGCGATTCTCTCTCTGTCTTTCTCTGCCCCTCCCCACTTGTGCACTCCTTCCCCCCAAGTAAATAAACATTAACAAATAATCAGATCCAGTATTCGGAGCTTAGAGGAAACTGAGGTTGGCTTGGCCAGGAGGTGATCATGTCAGTGAGGTGTGGAGACATGGTTTCTGTTGGAGAGAGGCTGGGGCTCCCCCTGAAGGGCGCCTCCAGGGCCCGTAGACAGTTCTGTCTAGGAATAGACGCCATTTTCCTCATTCAGAATATTTCCTACACTGTTGAGAGTGTTTTTTACTCATATGGGCTTCCTGAAGGAGGCTTGCTCCAGGGACGCAGACCTCGGAATGACCCAGACTGTCTGAGGAGGGTCATGTTGCTTTCTGAGGATGAAGACAGTGACTTGTTTGTACTTACTGTGGACGCAGGACACTGGAAACTTAAAGAGCACCCTAGTATGCTGCTAGGCTTGCAGGGAAAACCACAATGGACACAATTTTGGGTCTTCCTGCAGTGCTTCTGAAGAAACCAGGTCCTGCTCCAAATTCCCAAAGCACGTGCTCTGCCCTGCAGTGGCCTGGGCCTGTGGTCCCCCTCCCCCAGGCCTGGGCCTGTGCTCCCCCACCAGCCAGGGCCTGTGTCGTCCCCCACCCCGGCTTGTGCTCCCCCCCCATGCTCCCCCCTCCCCCCGGCCTGGGTCTGTGCTCCCCAGCTGGCTGCACGGTGCCTGGTGTGTGGGAGGTGCTCAGATATTTCCTGAATGAACAGATCTGTGTGAACTGTGCTTTTGTCTTTGGTTTGGATTTCTCTCGACAAGAATCTGTTTACCGTATAGATGTCTCCAGGAATTAAAGCTTTGGGTGCTATGTCTGTAACACGCTGCACTGTATTGTCTCTTTAGAAGACGGTGGTGCCGCTTTGAGTATTG